ACAACCTGTAGTTTATGCATTCAACAGTGTTTCCGCCATTAGTTGGCCGCCATTTGCAGTAAGTAAAAAGTACTCAATAACATCATCCGTATTAAATCGTCGAGATTGGAACAAAATACTCAATAAAGTCGTTCAAATGAAGATGCATATTTAGAAATGGACGTGAAAGCCTTTGTTTTTTGTAACTTGATAATCCTATCTGTTCTGTCTGCGTCACATTTAATAACTACACCGGATACGTCAAAATGATCACTTTAGACTACGATATCTTTCCCAAAACATATCACAGCTTTCCAAGTTATGAGCAGAATGTTGTAGCAATGAAAAATGTACCTCTTATCTACGGAACTAAAACAAGACTAGTGTTCCAGAGCGAATATGTACGCAAACGGTGGATCTAAATACGATTTCAAGAAGGAGAAAACCTGCAGTGTATACTGTTTCAATATCCTTTCTGAAAAAGAGACTTCATCTGTGCAATTTCAATTTGTTTTTGTCTTGTTTATGCATTTTGTTTATGCACATTTGTTAGAGGGTTTATTCCTACAAAATGGCAAATCAAACATAATTCAAAAATTGAATAAATCAGCGAAAACATATTTTCATTACAAATATCTGTTAAAACGAAATTGTAAAATACAATAGAATATAAATAACATCTCAAAAAAAGTCAACTTGTTCAGCTTTCGTAAACCCAACCCAAACCCCGCTTCCTATCTAAAAACATACAGGTGTTCTCGTTAATATGTATTTGGCGTGGAACACAAAGTGTTAAATAACGTGAAGTAACAATTTGTATAATAAAGCCATGTGTCGAGGCTGGTTGTCTGGTGGTACGTAATAATTATCTATCGACAACTATTCTTTCTCACACTATAAAATCACAATCTGAACCAGTCCCGAAAACATTTTATTGTCGTCAACAATAAAAAAAAAATCGGTTTTTGTTTTTAAGAAACTGTCTTTTTTCAGTCTATGTATGAGATTTCCATTATAACCCGATAAAGGTGGTGAAACAAACGGTTTGACGTAAAAAAAAAAATGCAGCTGATTGTTTTGACGATTTCCAAAGCTACTTGTTTGTTTGTAACCTTGTTTAAAGCTCTTGTTATCGCTCGTGCTGTATGCGTGAATAGTAAGTGATAGATTTCTATCGTTTACACCTAGGCATAACTCGAAAATTATTTACCCTGTTCTCTTCCAGCCTTTTATTGATCCAAACACCAAACACGATTTGCCCTTTCTTGTTTGTTTCTAAACGCGTGCATACATATTTTTTTATGTCAAAGAAAACCCATCGGTTTTTTTCCCCTTTTAATAAAGAGGTATTTGAGACCAAGAATCGTCTAGTGGAATATCAGACAACTGCACTGCCAGGTTTGAAGAAAACTGTAGACGCTCCTTCTCACTTTCGACTCTCTACATGAGCGGTGACGTCATACTTCGTGTGAAATTTTGTCGAAATCAACTGTTGTGTTTAAAATATCCTTAGTCCGTGACGTCTATTTTCGTTGTGTGCTAAGCCGCGGGGTCAAATAACTAATGACGTCCTTAACAAATCAGCCAATCAGTGAGGTCAAAGAAAATTCGTCAAACATGACTTACCCGCAGCGGTACAGTGGTCCATTGACGGATGCACAATTTATAGTTTTAAGACTACCAACAGTTAACCTTTGGAAAGACAGTCGGTTCTCCTTTAAACATTTTTTTTATTGAATCTTCAGCTTGGCAAGACCGGGATTCGAACACCGGACTTGAGATTGTTGCACACTATTGATCTAACCAATTGAGCTACCAGGTCAACGGAAGTACCCTGGCCCAACTGTGCTACAGTTATATCCTAACGGAAGTTAGAGGGAGGTTACTGTATATAATAAAAATCTACCGTGCAGTGGGACAGAGATCGTTAATACATTCAGAGCGTATTTTACATAATAAAATGATATTTCTTTATTATGACGTCATAACCATAACCTGAAAGTCATTTTCAACATTACCTGATCAAAACACAAGAGTGGATTAAACCCAGATTAGCGTTCATGACAACGATATTACAAAAAGAATATTTCAAATTTTTAAAATAAACGTCAGATGCATGCACATTTTACTCGAGTGAAATTAATTCACATTTACAAACTTGAGCCGAGGTATATCATCCTTAATTCAGTAAAAACTATTTTATGTTCAATGAAAAACAATAAAATATAATGTTTTAGCTAACAGAGTTGACCATGGAGATGTTTAGTGTATCCGATATGTTACACGTCGCTGTGATGACGTAGGACATCCGTCTTACTAGTATTGCATAGAGGCTCAATTGCACAACGATTGGCTCGAATGGGAATCGCTTGATAAATGAAAGTAAACAACTCTGACCTGAAATACAATTATTGTCCCGCCCTAGACATTTTTATTGAGAGGAGATTCATCACGCGCTGTAGAGACGGAAATAAGGTCGGACTCGATTTAATCCCGGTGTGGTTGGGAGTGCCCAGACTCCATTATTGGGCACTAGAATGTTTGCTTTGAGATTCTGCTTTAGTTTATCTCTATTCAATAGTACGAATAAACTTTCTCATTTTTCAGCATTATTTTCAGCTAGACAGCGGAAAAGATGAGATGGGATGTAGGCGGGTGAAGAAAGGTATCGTTGTGAATGATTGTTTTAGGTAATCATTCTGATTAGACATATGATAGTGTTATCTATCTTATGAAGTAATGCCTCGCGTAAAATAGGGATGTCAATTTGTTTACAAACATTTGGTTTTCCGCCATGTATTTGTGGAGATTTCGGGAACATTGAGTACATTTGAACAGAATGTTTCTGTCTAAACGGAACATGTGTTGGTGTAACTGATTTCTTCTGTGAGGATATCCTATATAATACACGAAGTAAATCTGTAAAAGTATAAAAGCAACGATATCACTTAGTCCAATTTAGACGATGGTTTGAACATTGAAAACTATAGACATATTAAACCTTGTTATTTTTGCAATGCTACTAACACATATTGAGTTATAGTCATAACAAAGCAGGCATATAAACATTTAATTGATCTTCATCCACACAAAACGTCACAGTAATATTTTCTTATCATATGCGTCAAAATAAAACTAGTCTAAGTAGTGTTTGAAGACTTTTCATCAGCATGTATCTTCATATCATAAAAAAATAGAAAAGCTGTTACCCGCACATCAATATGACTTCCATTAAACCGCCATGCTGTCATCCCGATATCCGTTCTATCACAAAATTAAAACACATTCGACGTCAAATACTATTTATTATCACCGATATTTCAAAATTACAAAATAGACACTTAATTCAAAGTGGCATTTCCTCATTTTAGGGGAATTTTATAATTCAAATATTTTTATAAAAACTATCCAAGTATGGTTTATGATGAATGTAAATTTTCAGCATGCCACAACTTGGAAGGGGAATTGAAATACGAGTTTCTGTTAATTGAACGTGCCAATTTCCTGTGGGATTTGCGACAACACCGTTTAACTTAGTCACTTAGACTCCTCCGCTCACATCTCTGGGTGGTTTAATAGCAAAACGCATGGCTTCATTGATCGGGCCGGATCATCAGGTTACAATATGATTCTAGAGGTAGTGGAGCGACACAGTCAAATGTCCGGCGCAGCATCTAAGAGAGACTATATGGAACGATCAACAAGGATCTCGAAATAATACAGACACAGAGAGGATACCAAAACTAAAATTAAGCGGAATGATATACCGTCCTCCTGCGAGTAGCTCAATTTAACCAACCTCTCGGTAACTCCACGAGAGTATGCGAGATTATGCTGAACTGTCTTTGTTTGACGCATTTATTTTTATTTTTTCTATTATGTGTAGTCTCGGCGACATGCTGGACAACACAAACGAAACTGCCTAGCTAGTTAAAAGACTAACAATACAGTATGTTATAGTGTATGGACAAAAGAAGGCTTGATAAACGACGTCATCATTACAAGAAACACGTGATATTTGAAATACAACGCTTTTATAAAAAGTAAGAAAGAGCCCAATAAATCGTATAAGTGACATTACAGAAAAGGCATTTTCTGGTAATACATGTACATTTTTCACTTAAATATTCAAAATATAAGTTTAATAGATATTACTCTGGAAGACACAAATTGCATGAACTGTATCACTATATTGCCAATAATTATGACTTACCGTTAAAAAGGGGTGGGGTGGGGGTAAAATAGCTACAGTGTATGAAATACCCACACATACGACTGCAAAACATCAATACATCTGGTATGACGGAACCAACGACATTGCAAGCTTCCCAAGTGTCGTTGAGTAACGGACCAGACCGAGTCCGGACACCAGATATGGCTAAATCCAGAAACGGTGCACCAGGAAAATGGCCAAAACAATAACTGAGTTCTCAATCGCGCGAACGGGACGTCATTAACGAGATTACAACGTGAAAGCTCATCAATAACCTCGGTCATTCTGTAGTCTGTCTGTGCGTCCGAGATAGATTATATCACGTGCATCACACAGACAGTGTTACGACGATACCCCGCGACGTCACCGCTTTATCGGCTGAATAGCCATAAACACCATGTAACTGTTTTTGTCTGGAGTTTTTAGTTTATCGCTTTATGATAACCTTACACTGGCTCCAGACACCAGAACACTCCATCCACACACATCTGGCCACTTTGATGTGACTGGACATCCACTCAGTATTTTAACACTAAAGTTTGTCTCGTCATCGATCCGAAACAGATATTACACAGTGTATATAAAGTATTAGAAAACAAGCTAGACGATTCAGTAATGTCTTTTCTCATGTCTTATGCCCAATGGCCAATCGTGTGATTTATATATTATACAAGCATCTGAGTCTGGAATCACTAAGAAAAGAAAGCGAGCAAGCAAAAAATACATGTTTCAAGTAAATTGCCTAAGTCGGATATGGAAATATGACAAATTCTACACGTCTTATGTAGGGATTTAATATATTACTTACGTCCCCTTGGGAGGTCTTGTGATGACTGCTGTGACGTCAATGTCGACTGGAGTAGAAATAGTATCAACACCGCGCCTGCTCCCATGGCTGGAATCTGTTAAAGGCAAAGAGAATTTTAGAAAACGTGACGTCTATACTATATATTGTTATTGAGGACAATACTTTTATAAGCGTATAACATTTGATAGTTGACGAATAGGATTCATTCCGCGGATTGAATAAAAGGCAAATTTTTGCCATGGCAAATCTAGAAGGCGATTATAATCCAAAGAACCAACAAAGCCTGCCACAAAACTCCGGCTCTTTCAATGCGATCGTAATCGAACACCTCTACAACCCAGGTTCTAGCTTCTGTCACCACAGGGAGAGTCATAGACACCATTAGTTACGGGGAAGCTACAGCGTGATACCACCGGGCAATTCCCTCTATCGCGAGGCGAGAGGTCGACCGTAGTCATATGTACAATCAAAATATGTCACACATGATCACTCAAGTCGGGGCATGTTAATTGTTTGGCCTGCAGTATCACTGATCGCCCTTTATAGATTAAAATGACGTGTATATGATGCAGTAGAAAAGTTCAGCTGTTTGTACCCTGCATTGATTTACTAAAGTTTCAAAAGTTGTTTCCTTACTTTGTAATTCTATAGATTATATGTTGAGTGAAATGTGGACTTTAAAATAACAAAGTACATGTCTGTTGCAATACGTTGCACACACAATCAAATTTTAGAGAATTTATTGACGTTAGACTGCGTTTTTTGTAGCGGGTCACAGTTTTGAGAGAGATCTTGAATTGAATTGGTTATAAACAAGTGAAGGGTAAAAGACATCCTGAACGGTGAATGACGTGCAAATGTTCGATTTACTTTAAGGTACACAAGAGACAGAATAGAGGCACGTGCAATTAAATGAAGTATAAGATAGATTAGTTATGCCTTTGGGATATCGCGTGCTGTAACTCTGTCAGGACCTCGATCGGATGGTCGCCCAGTTTACATCGACACAAATAGAGAGCCCATTGCACTGGACTGTTGCCCACAACCCGGAAGTGACATATGTGTTCTGTAAATAATGCAACAAAACCTTAGTCAAAATGACTAGCCAATATATGCTATATCTTACACGTCGTTGAAGACGCTTTGTTTGTTGATATCAGTTTAGTTATATAGCTACTTATAAGTTGTTATATACATATGAATGCGAAGGTTGCGGTTTTAATCATTTAATAGAAATCGCCCAGTCATGACTTCTCAACGAAAGTTCTATTTGCTGATATTGTCGTACATGGACCTGGCAGAAAAAAAAGTGTCCTTAACCCAATGCATTATGGGAAAGTTACTTCAAACATGCAATCTTCCACTCAGCTAACGATGCAACATCGGTTTATTGACTGTCATTTACAAACACCACTACTGATTTCAAAGATTGTGACAGTAAGACATTATCACCGGTGGTATACGGAAAAACGCTGTTGAAACAAGATGGAGCGTTCTGTTACAGAACAGTTATGTCGAAGAAGCGAACTCAATGCCCAACACTACACGTACAGTACAAACAGAGGTGCCGGAAATATTGAGCAATGTTTCATGTCGTGACTGGGTGAAACTATTACTCCAGTAAAATATAGAAATGTGATGAAGACCATTAAGCGCTCTATAGAATTACCAAAGGATTGATAGGTCGGAAAGTGCTCTCCTGAGTTGTACTTCTGAGGATAATCTATCCGAAGATTTCAGGCCATTCGTCGTGAGAAACTTGGTGAGATGAATTCCTAGTTGGTAATGTCACTGCGTCTGTGTCGGCTGCCATTAGATTGGAAGGTGAGCGTATGACAATACTGGAACAATTAGCAAAGTATTGGTTCCAACCAAACCGTGTGTACTTGATACCACCCACCTTGTTTAAATAATGTTAATTGAGAATTAAAACACAATACCATATGTAAGAATTACTCTTCTATCAGTAATGGCCACTTAAGGACGTAGCAGGTTTTTGGTGGTGAAGGAAGAACAAAACAACACTGACCGAGAAAAACCCCGACCTGTAGCCAATACGAATCGGCAATCGCGACACACTGAGAAAAAGTGGCACAATAAAAAGGATTCGAAAGAGGATAATTTGGACTTGTACATAACCTTCATCCTCAGCTCTCGCGAGATTGTTATTACCTTTGTCGTTGTTTGACCTAAACCTCGGTAACCATCTTCGGTAAGCCCGATACCTCTAAATCCGATTTTATTGGATCAATTTCCGGGGGACAAGAGTCTCTGTGCGTCTTGATTAGTTTTATCTAATTAAGATAATTACCTCACAGTCCACTGTGTGTACCTCGACAAATCTGTATTATGAAACATTGTTATTGGGCAAAAGTATTGTACGGCATTAATTTATTAGTTTGGTTTGTATGACAGCTGTTGCATATCGTGTTTGGGTCAATTCTGACGGAGCGTTGGTGTACAGCCGGGTATATTTCAGTGGTCAGAAAACAAGACTCGGCACAGTTTCCATTAAATTATGTCTATGCATACGAACAGATAATGCAATAATAAGTATACACGAACACGACCAATATATACATCTTGATGGTATAAAGGCAACAAAAGATTGGGGATCTTCAATAGAAAAACGCCTTGATGGTATAAAGGCAACAAAAGATTGGGGATCTTCAATAGAAAAACGCCCCATACTTGTACATAGTACAGTCATAATACGGTGGACATGCAGGAGAGGAAGAGGAAAACAATTTCTCTGTTTAACCATCGTGGAAATCTTCCTGTGTTTACAATTTTTTCTGTGAAGTGTCACGTGACATCCGTCACCAAAACTAGTCGTCAAACCCGTAGCCGGGCTGAGTACGTTTCCGGTCCACCAGCCCTTACCCGGGCTGGTTACATTTTACATTTCCGGAATAAAAGGACTAGTATTACATATAACTTAAATTATTGAATACAACAAATACATTAATTGACTAACATAAAAATAGGCATTTACTAAACAGATTGTATAAATTACTTTATGTATACCTTAAAAATATAATCATACTCTCGTGTTTAGCATACAAACAACCTAACTACACACAGGATATACTCTGCTCTGGGTTTTCCCCAATAATAACACAAATACATGTCTAGTCGAAATGAACATTTATTTGATTAAAATGCCAGTAATGAAATTATGACCAATAAATACATCTTGATGGTATAAAGGCAACAAAAGATGTACCTATTGGTCATAATTTCATTACTGGCATTTTAATCAAATAAATGTTCATTTCGACTAGACATGTATTTGTGTTATTATTGGGCAAAACAGAGCAGAGTATGTCCTGTGTGTAGTTAGGTTGTTTGCATGCTAAACACTTGAGTATAAATATCTAATAATTCCTTCACAGAAACGTCGGAGATATTAGGAGGCCCGGTAGTTTAGTGTAAGGACGCTGGGCTCCTGACCGAAGGGTTGTGGGTTGAAGTCACGTTACGGCACTGTGTTGCATCTTATTCCAGTATACTCAGCTGTAAATGAGTACGTGGTTAGGCAGCGCTAGAATTGCTGAATGCAAGCAGTGAGCGCCGAAATGGCAGCACCGGCTGTATGCTCCCCAGGGAGATGGGAAAAAAGTTTGGCTGGTTGCAAAGGTCCTATAACCATATATAATAATTTGTGAACCGCTTTGAGACGACCTACGAACAAGGTTCTGATAAAACGGTTTATAAGAACCTCGATTTTTTTTTATTATTATTGTTCTTATAGATAACCTGGCCGGCCTAGACTTTTTGGCATAGGCACAACTATATCCGAATCAAAACTGCCGCTATAAAGATGGGAAGAGGAGTGTTTGAGACAGAAATTATTAAATCTAGAAAAAAAAAAGACGTCGGAAAAAATAGAGGCCAGAAAAGATCTATAAACCCACTGTATATGAACTAATGTATACATGTAGGGTTATATAGTAGGGTCTTAAACAAACATTTCACATTCTAAAAGCATTCATATACTAGAATGTTCTTTTAAATTCCAATTAAATTTCCATCACTCTACGTCAATTGGAATTGTCATTATTCAGGCAGTTTTGGAGATTGCCATTTTCACCATTAAAGCATTCAATACGTATCCCCGTGATTTCCAAAATCACTAATGACCTATTTCAAACGAGTTTCATTAAAATGAAATATCTCATTTCAGTAGTTGTCAATTTGTCTTGTTACCGTGAAATTATGCGACGTACGTTAGCTTTGAAGTTTGTATCATAATCATCATATCACTGTTTTTTTTATATCAATGTTTAATGATTTCGTCACCGCTGCATGTGCCAATTACGGAGTAACCCCCTCCCCTCCCCTCAAATAAGATATATAACTAAAACATGCGATAGCCGACATGCGAGTTGAGTTTAAGTGGACTGTGCCTACCCCATCACACCGTATGTGTCTTGTGGCGGATCTATATAGGCGAGTCGGCTTATTTAATTAGAACTGTTAACATAGTCTGTGTGTCCGGAAATAAGCCCAGGGGAGTCCAGCATGTCTTTGTTTCTTGTCACCGTTCAACGCAGACAAAAGCATTAAGCTCTTATGGGGTTTCCGCTTTTTACTGTACTTGGTTTTATTGTTTGTTTTTCTTATGTAACTATTGCTTACCTCTGTGCTTGTGGAGAGTCGCACGTTTAGCTGTTGTGTATTTTATATTAAATATTACCGCTGTCTTTAATGTATTCCAGTTTTCACTTTTTGTATTTTTTCAATTAAGAACAACTACGAAGCATACATTATTATTTTTCTGTTTTAAAATATAATTTCGAATAATAATTAAAAAAAACACACTTAAACATACAAATAAAAGAAACCAAAGAAAGATAAAACGTCAAGGCAGAGAAGATTATATACAAGTTTTCTATAGCAATCCTTATGAATGTATAGATATAATTAGACCAGGTGTTACGGAAGGCTGAGCGGCTTCTGATTCACTGACGAAACACCCGCCATATCAAATTATATCAAATCTAGTGTTATGTTTTTAATGAATTGATTATTTCGTTGACGAAGAACAACACAGGGAGCCCAAATAAACATAATTAAAACTTGATAATCATT